CAGGTTGACAAAACCCTGGCTGGGATGATTTAGTTGGGGTTGGTCCTGCTTTGAGCAGGGGGTTGGACTAGATGACCTCCTTAGGTCTCTTCCAACCCTAATCTTCTATGATTCTATGTTGTTCATTTTAAGAACTCTTTCACTGCAGATATAACAAATTGCAAAGAAGATACCAACATGAGATTTCTAAGGATAGATACAGCTGTCGACTCAAGGTTTAAGAATCTGATGTGCCTTCCAAAATCTGAGAGGGATGAGGTGTACAGCATGCTTTCAGAAGTTTTAAAAGAGCAACAATCCAATGCAGAAATTACAGAACCCGAATCACCAAAAAAGAAAATCAACCTTCTGCTGGTGGCATCTGACTCAGATGATGAAAATGAACATGCATTGGTCTGCACTGTTTTGAATCATTATCGAGCAAAACCTGTCATCAACATAGAAATATGTCCTCTGGAATGGTGGTTGAAACATGAAGGGACATATGAATCTTTAGTATCTGGCATGTAAATATCTTGCAATGCTGGCTACAACAGTGCCATGAGAACGACTGTTCTCACTTTCAGGTGACACTATAAACAAGAAGCGGATGGCATTATCGCCTGCAAATGTAAACAAACTTGTTTCTCTGAACAAGAAGTAGGACTGAGTAGACTTGTAGGCTTTAAAGATTTATATTTTTTTCTTTTTGAATGCAGGTTTTTTGTACATAATTCTACATTTGTAAGTTCAACTTTCATGATAAAGAGATTGCATTACAGTAGTTGTAAAGGGGAAATTGAAAAGTACTATTTCTTTTGTTTTTTTAAAGTTCAAATATTTGTAATCAAAAATAAATATAAAGTGAGCACTGTCCATTTTGTATTCTGTGTTGCAATTGAAATCAATATATTTGAAAATGTAGAAAACATTCAAAAATATTTAAATAAATGGTATTCTATTACTGTTTCACAGTATGATCAATTGTACCATTAATCACAATTCATTATTTTAATCGCTTGATATCCCTAATAAAAATGTATTACAGATCATCATCATATGATCCATGTCTCCTAAACTGAAAATGACTATCTCAGATTCACCTTGATACTACGATATTTGTACCAGATAATTAAATGATATTAATTTAGTTCAGCTTTACCTTTACAGTTCATGTCAGACTTTCAAACCCTAGCCTTTATTTATGCAGGTACAAATAATTACAGTAACTCCTCACTTAAATTCATCCCGGTTAATGTCGTTTCGTTGTTATGTTGCTGATCAATTAGAGAACATGCTTGTTTAAAGTTGTGCAATGTTCCCTTATAACGCTGTTTGGCAGCCGCCTGCTTTGTCCACTGCTTGCAGAAAGAGCAGCCCATTGGAGCTAGCTGGTGGGGGCTTGGAACCAGAATTGACCAGCAGCGTCCCCCGCCCCATATCAGCTCCCTGGCTCCCCTTAGTTCCCTGTGCGACAGCTGCCCAGCAGGCTATCAATTGCCGGGTAGTTCAGCTGTCCCTCCCCCCACTGCCAAGTGCTGCTCCTGCCCTCTGCCTTGGAGCTGCTCCAGGGAGACTCCTGCTTGCGTGGGGGCGGGGGGGGGGGGGGATAATGTCAGGATCTCCCCTTGCCCCACTCCTGCTCCCGCTCCCCCATCTCCACGGGGATGGGGGGGAAGGGGACAGGACGGGCTCAGAATGGAGGGAGCTTGCTGGCAGCAGCTGCTGTCTCAAATTTCTGATCTACTTAGAAAGGCAGTGTAGTTAGAATAGGGTCAGCGTACTTAAAGGGGCAATGCGCGTCTCTCTCTCTCTCTCTCTCTCACACACACACACACACACACACACACACACACACACACACACACACAGTGTGTCTCTGTCTCTCTCTCG